TTTGCATCAAATATTTCTTATAAGAATTCGACATCCGAGATATATAGGAAAATTCTCATTAATACATAAGAGCAAAACCATTTCCTCAGTGGATAAGTGGCCAAAGGTATGAACAAGTCATTCCTGGAAAAGAATACAGATATACACACACACACTTACACATATACATACACAATGTTTTAATTTCCTTAGAAGACTCCATTGGAATAAGTCTAGCACAAAGGAGTTCAGACAAAAAGTGACAGCCCCCACAGAGATACTATTAACAAACTCTATTGCTACTCATAGTGGTAGGAGGAGTACAACTGTTTGGGTGAGTTGCTAGGACACAGGAAGTACCAGTGTTAGGCCTCCATGCCCCCTATGGGCAGCACACAGTTGGGAAAGAGAAGTAGCTTTGCTCTTATTCAAAGTCTAGAACCTTCATGATTCAAACTTGTGAAGAATTTGAGTCAAAAGGGCCTGAATTATACTAATGGGAGACTGCCCTGTTATCTATGGCACCAGAAAAGTGAGGGAAATTTTCAAATTGCCTGACAAGGAATGAGGAATGAGGGTCAGAGAGATGGGAAACTTAATCCTAATGGCATGATTCCAGCAAGTGAAGGAAAAAGGTGAATGCTCAGTCTCTGTGCTTATTATCCTTGGCATCCTTGCATCCTAGCAGGGTAGAGCTGTACCTGTCAAACCAGTTTTCACTGGTTAATATCAAGCCAGTTTTCACTGGTTAATATCAAGCTTCCTAGATCTACCTTGATTTATCTTCTCATCTTCATAACAATGACTCTCTATTCTAGGTCAGTGTGCTATAGTATAGAACACTGGGGCCTCACTGGACTCTGTGCTCCCTGGCTCTTTTCATATGTTATCACAAAGTAGCTAGGACTCCTTCCACAAAGTCCTTTCATATACTGGGTCCTATGTACTCTGCCCCCTTGAGCATGAAAGACTTGGAAATGCAAGTAGAATCTTTTTTTAATTGCTGATATCATTTTCATCAGCAACTAGGACCAATCATTATAAATTACCTGGGTTAATAATTCTTGTTATCAAGAAAATTCATTGATGCTCTGCTCTCACTGAAACCATTTTGCTGGAATGGAATCCCAACTTCCTCCCTCATTCCCCTTTGCATACCTACATTGATTACCACCACCACCACCTAGATGGCTTTAGAAGAATATATGAAACAAAAAAAGTATTAGATATCTTCATTAAGAGATAAAATAATAAGAGAATAGATTTAGAACTATAACAGACCTTTAAGGCAATTGAATCCAGCTCTCTCACTTTCCTGTTGAAGAAACCAAGTCCCAGAGTAGTTACACAACTTCTACAGGGTCACACAGCCAGTAAATATCTGAGGTAGCATTTGAAATCAGGTTTTCCTGACTACAAAATCAGTGCCTTATCTGCAATAGCATATGGTCTCTCTCATAATATTGAACTTATTTTAATTCATTCATTCATGGTTCAATAAATGGACATCCTATATATAGGAACGTCCTTCCTTTACACTCTGCTTTGTAATGATTAGTTGTAATATTGTCCTAAGGAATTTTGCTTCAAGAAGCAACTGTTAGGCTTTTAGCTCTTGGAGTTGTTCTATCTTGCTAACAAATGTAAGGAGTTTTTCTTCTCCTTACTTAGATAGATGAAGCAGTGGTTTGGGTGAACTTAGATCAATTGGTTCAGCCAACACAGCTGCACATGGGGAAATAGGTCTTCTGATGGTATATAAACAGAGCCGGAGAGGCCCTGAGCCAAGTGTGGAGTAGGGGCAGAAGCACAGATTACAATGGAGATTTTATTGCTCCAGCATCTCATAACTTGTCAAAACCAATGTTTCTATTCATATGTAAAGTGTTCCTAAAGAGGGCTTATCCTCAAAACACAGCGAGCTGAATCCCTGTAGTCATTTTGCCATCCTCCAAGGAAGTCAGTTAGTCATATGATCATCCACCTTGGATGCCAATAGGATGAAAATTAAACAAGACTCTTCTTTCCCCAGTGCCCATTAGGTCAAGAGCCATGCCCAACATGGAAGGGAGGACTTGAAATCAACACCTGGCCCTTTTTGTATGTGACAGCAAATAGAAATGAAGTGATAATCCTGCAGCACTGCCTCGAGGTGGAAAATGTTATTGTTTCTTTATATAGTTAGTCTGCATGATTTTTTTTGTTTTTTTTCCTAAGAATTTACTTGAAAAAGCAAACATAACAACTCCTAGTCAGTAATGATCTGCAGCATGCACTACATTAACAAGCAAAGAGTAAAATCATCAGACAATATTATTCATGTTAATAGGGATGTAGAAATTGGGCAACGAATTGTCATGTGAGGCTCTCTATTTTCTGTGCTTCTAGTGCTCCAAGGAACATTTACAAATGAAAGATTTGAAAAGAAAAGGCTTATACCGGAAAGCAGTTTGACAGATATTAGGCTTACGGCCACATCACACACCATGTAACATAAGACTCTGAAAATGAATTTATGTATGACTGTTATAGATCATGCTATAGAAAAGGAAAGAGAAGAAAATCAGATCAGGTACTTTTCACAATTATGGCTCATTTCACAGCCATGGATAGTATGAGAATTCTTAAACAAACAAGGGATAAAAGCAATCACAAAATACAAGCTAAATATTTTTGACTATGTGAAATTGAAAAGTTTTAGTATACTACAAATTAACACAAAAAGGACAAGAAGGGACATGGTCAATTGGGGGAAAAAACATAGTTTTTGCACCAAATACCTCAAAAGGTCTGATTGCCAAGATATGTAGGGAACCTGAACAAATATAAAGAGCATAAAAACATTCCTCAACGGATAAATGGTCAAAGGATACTAGAGAGAAGAATTGAAAATAATGAAAATAGATATTTCAATATTTGCCATATTTGGGAATATCCTTTAAAACTAGAATTATCTTCCACATATTTCTCTGAAACAGTGATTGAGCACAAATTTCCCTAGTATGTAGAAAACACAGTAGTCTTCTCCATGGCGATATACCTCTCTGTGCTCTAAAAATGTTCTTGAACAATCAGAAAGAAAGTCTGCATTTGGATAGGATTGTAATATAGAGAAGTAAATTATAGTAAAATTTATGCATTATTGTAGAAAATGGAAATTTCTAATTTGGTAAAATCAAGAGTCCTTGAACTATATGTGTCAACTTAACTTTGTTCTAAGTCATTTGAAGTGTTTGGAATTAATACAAAACAATTATAGTAGAACAAGACAAGAAAATTTCATTGAGTTTTAATTAATAAAGAGCCACTTTTTTGTGGACAATTCCTATGAAAGGGGATGATCCCTTTCAGGTGAAATAAAAAAAAAATCTTACTGAGTGTATTATGAGTAGTTACAATTCCAGTGGAAAGGAATTGGAAGAACCTTGAAACTCTCCCTGACAGATGACATTATAGAAGTACCTTTAACATATTTACACTTAAGTGATGTTTCTTTGCTTCCACCTGATATCTTTGAATAGATTTCTGAGCTATTGAAACTTTTCTGTCATATCTATGTAATAGCAAATATATTATGTGCTCATTGTTTTTCCCCCTTCAGTCCCCACCAATGTAGGTTTTGTTTAACAATCAAGTTTCCAGTTTTAGTCCTGAGTTACACACATGTACAGTATCAGCAGGAATGACTAGAAACTTCAAGTCAAAATGTTGAACTGATCTTCTCTATTGAGTGTGCTGAGTTAATGCCTGCTTCTTGCCTATGTGCACTGCATATACTGACATGTCTTTCATTGTTTCTTTTCTTTCCCCCCTTCTTTTTCTTATGATTGTTATTTTATGCATGGCAAACTTTTTGCTTATGGCTTTGTGGTTGGCTGCCTTTGAAAATGGAGTGTCTTGTGCTTGTAATGGTTCCTTTTTGCATGTGTATTACTGACTGTCATTTAAACGCAACATCTAAGGAAACAGAAAGAGAAGATGGGGTTCCAACGGCTTCCTTGTGTGCTGAGGATGTAAAAAACAAAAGATACAGTTACTCTTCTCATGGCCTTTGACTTACCTTTTCCTATTTTGTTTGAGTCCAGCAAATTATTATTATTATTATTCAATGTAATAAAACACGTAGGAAACATTCCCACTACTATTAATTGAACTATTCTCCTAAAACATGATCCTATTATAACTAACTATTCTGGCCATGAAATCGTATTAAGGCTTAATTCCATTATGTCACTAAATTGATTAGTAGACATTAGCCCTGCCTCAGCAGGCCCATTGAGAGAGAAACCCTGACTTCCATCGACTCTACCTTTTGCTTTGCTTAAGCATAAACCTTCCTTTGCTAATAAACCCGTCAAGGGTAGCCAGAGGTTGCAAAAATCCTGAATCCACAGTTTCATTTAAAGGAGAACATGTGGGAAGGTTTTTTTTTTTTATTATTATTGAAAGAACTAAGGAAAAAAATGGTTTTGAAAAACAACTGTTAGAACTCCAAATGCTAATGGTATTATAAAAAAAAAATCTAATTATTTCAGGACCCGATACTGTAATTTTGCAAGGTTTTTCTCAAAAATTGTATTTACCTATTTAGTTTATCATTTTCACCATTTTAAATTCAATGTGATGACTGAGTAAAATAAGATGTCAGCTAATAAAATTGTTTTCTATTTTTATATGTGGTGGGTATTCTTTAAGACATATTCTTTTTGCTTGTAATTTGACCTCCATTCCCTGATATATTTTTTGTACTAGGGCAAAAAATACTAAGTGAACACTGTTGATGATACTTTAGATTAGATGGGGATTATGGGTATTTTTCTCTTTAAACAGAAATTGATATTCTAAGCTAATTCTTTCCCTGAGTTTTTTGATTGCTGTTATTGGGGTTTTGTCTTTGTTTTTGTTTTTTGGAATCATCCTTGGTAGTTTTAGAATTTAAAAATTATATTGCCCCTCCCATTCAGTCTTGTATATTCTTGAATTATCTTTTTTCCTCCATTTTTCTCCATTCTCAATCCTAGGTCCCCTTACAAAGAAACAGACAGATGATTTAGGGGATAATGACGGAGCTGAAGATGAAGGTATTTTTTTTTGCCGCCAAATCTGATTTGCATGATGAGGCCCCCAGTCTATTTTTCCACCCTCTTCCTCTTTTTTTGACTTCTTGTCCTTTTTGGAGAGTTCTTTTTCATCCCCATTTTTGATGTGTTTTGTCTTCTTGCCTGTTGTGATATATATATAAACATACATTTTTTTTATTTTTTTCAAAAAAACCAACTGTTATTTAGTTCTGCATTTTGGTACCAACCATTAAAATGTTTAAAGAGGAGGGGATTTTTTTTTGGGTTTGTTTTCTTGAAAATAAATTTTGACATGTTTCATTCTCCCTTTTGACTGAATTTTGTCAATAGAATTTGAACTAACCCCCTGCTCTTTTTAAAGGTCTCTCTGTATCCCCTTTTGCATGTTTGCTAACCTATGTATTTTACCAAATCCAAAAATGAATTGATCTCTATAGTTGTTATTCATTTAATTTTTAAAATCTTACACCTATATAATGTGAAGAAAAAATTAACTGACAGCTGCAATAAAGTGTTTCTTAAACAAGCCTTCAATTAAGTGAAAAGAAAAATGTATTTTTTGATTTTCTGACACATTACCTCCAAAACTAAAAGTGCATAGGGTTTAAGAAAGAAACTATGACATCTATTTCAGTGATTTTTCTATTCTTAATAAAACAACCCGCTGTGGTCCTCAGATTCCTCATCTATAAAATGAGAGGTTTGGGACTAGATGTCCAAGTCTGAAATTGAGCTTATGTTTTCATGGCTAAATAACACATGTTGTAATGAATATTGCTCACAGCATCTGGTAGAAAGGTGTTTGGGAAGAAGACAAAATAAGGTTGAGTTCCTTTGTTTTAGATGAAACACGTTGCAAGTGAAATCATAGGAGAAGAAAACTTTTTGGTGATTATACATTCCACATACAAGCAAAACAAAAACTTGAGAAAATTGGTCATTCTTCTCCACATGACCTGGCCTTAATAAATCCTTTGTAAATATTTGAAGTAAAATAATTAGGCTCATCCAGCATTTGTCTCTCTATTGTTAATAACTCAGCTTAGAGGATTTCTAAGGCCCCTCTCCATTACAGCATATGAGCAAACCATTGAACATTGAATGCTAGGGAATTTACTTGGTCCCATCTTACCTCAAAAAGCAGAATTTTATTGCTTTTGTATCACTTGTTTTTAATACAATGTCTAACATTTAGGCATTTTAATAAAAAATACTTTCATTAATATTCAAGTCATTAGGTTACAGAGCACAGGCCGAGAGTCACAAAGACATCTTCTTGAGTTCAAATCTAGGCTTAGGCACTTACTTGCTGTGTTACCCTTGGCAAATGACTTAATTTCTGTTTGTCTTACTTTTCTTAACTGTAAAATGAGCTGGAGAAGGAACCATTCCAGTATCTTTGCCAAGAAAACCCCAAATGTGGTCACAAAGAGTAGACTATGATTAAAAAAAATGATTGAACAGTATGTTGAATGAAGGCTTCCTACTCATTGTTCTCCTGGTTATGATGCACATAAAAACATACAAATTTTCTCTGGGAGATATTTGAAGCCATGGAGAAATTAAACTCATGCAATAAATTTGTGGTCCTGAAGAATATAATTCTCTTACTATGATTTTAGCAATGGGGAAGTCCCAGTGTGAAAACTCCATTCTACCACCTATGCCTGGAGTCTTAGAATTTGCCTACAATATTGAGAGGTTGTCACCCTTGGATTCATCCTGTGTGAGACACAGGACCTAAGGCTAGGTCTTCCACATTCCAAATATTGCCTCACTCTTCATCTCACCATGTTGCCTCTGCCTTAACAATATTAACTATTTATCCATTAGACCAGTGCATATATTATCCTAGATATTTTAAGCAGTTATATAGGAATGAAGATCAATAGGAAAACTGGGGCAAATAAGGATATGCTGTAGAGTAGAAAATGTACTGCTACTAGAACCTGAGGACCCAGGTTCAAATTCCACCTGGGTCACTTACTATTTATGTGACCTTGACCCATCAGTTTTCTTCTCTGAGTTCTGAAAACTGAACTAAATGTAAAGTGAACTAAAAATCCAAAAATGAGCAGAGGTTGGTGTGAATCAGAAGGCTGCTGGGGTCCTTTCTAGCTCAGAGTTTATGATCCTGGGATCTTTATAGTATATACTTTTCAACTCTGTTTTAATTATATAACTCAAATTGTTGGGGGAATGGTCAGATTTTGGATACTGTAAATGCCATTTCTATCAAATGTGAAGTACAATTTTGAAGGTAAATGGCATATTCAGAGTGTGATTTTCATCGAATTTGGTAATTTATTGATAAAGATTAAACAACAAATGGCCCATGAAATTTTAAACAGAGACATAAAGTTTTTCCAATATTTATCATTTGAATGTGCCGTAAGAAATATTTTTACAGAGCATTCAAGTAAATAATACAACTTGCAAACTTTTCTGGGTCTTTTGGTGAATGATCAGAACATTTGTATCAGACCAGCATAGAAATTATGTTGTTATTGTTTTTAATCTGTGTAAAATATGACAGAATGTTCAGAAAAGTATACAGAAAACAAGTCCTTATTGGGAGAGCATCTGTCATTGGCAGCATGAGAGTTAGAGTTAGAAAAGGATTAGAGCCTGAGGCCTACAATGCTTTCCAAAGTCAGGTGAGGTCTATATGGCAGAGGTGGGGTTTCAACCAAGGACCCATGATTCCAAATCTAGTCTCTTCCAACAGCAACATGTTCTATCATATTCTATAGAAGATACAAGTTTACAGTAGCTAGTCATTCTCAGTGTTTAAGGGATCTGGTTTTAAAACTCAAAGTTTTCTAAATATTCCCCTCAAATGAACACATCACATGTATTCCATCTATCTAGGTGGCACAGTAGATAGAGCAAGGGCCTTAGAGTCAGGAAGACCTGTTGGAATCCAACCTTAGACACTAGTTCTGTGGCCCAGGGAAAGATGCATAACCCCTGTCTGTTTCTTTCTCCTAATCTGCAAAATAGGGATAATCACAGCACCTACCTCTCAAGGTTGTTGAAAAGATCAAAAGAGATAGTATTTATAAAACACAATTTAAATTCTATTAGTAATAACAAGACACAATAATAATAACTTTCCTATTTTATTAGATATATTTTAGATTGCATGCATTTTTAGTCTTATTAAATAAAACCACAGGAGACATTTACTTATAAAGATTTAATATATCACTGGCTATTCATCAGACAAGGATATACTGCATTTCATAGGCTTATTTTGGAGTCAATTTCATATTCTAAAATACTCATGAAGTAAACTTTATGTACTCATTTAACCTGCAGATAGATGATAGCTTATCCAGCATAGATTGTGAAGAAATCACAGGGACTCTTGAGCAAACAATTTTTTTAAAAAACACTTTTAAAAGTAGAATTTCAAAACTATTCGTTCCATTATTTTTCTAATAATAGAAAACCAGTATGAAATTTGAAAAGCAGCATAGTTTAGTGAAAAAAAAAAGTGCTGGATTTATAATCAGCAAACCCAATATGGATTCCATTCCTCTCAATGTCACCTGTATCACCTTAAAAAAGTCGTTTCACCTTGATGGGCCTTTATCAGCCTCTTTCAGTTTCCTCACCTCTAAGATACTCTAAGGTTCCTTCTAGTCTAAATCTATGAACCTATGAACCAATCATCTTAAAACAAAAACCACTCTTAAAACTCAATTACTTTTTATAACATTCTTTTTCTCATTGAATATGCAACAACTTTTTAGGAATCAAAGCTAAATTTTCACATTTAATTCAAACCAAAATTCAGTTGATATCCCACAGCCAAAGAGGCAGCAATGATAACAACACACATGCACATACATACATACATACATACACACATAATTGAGGCATACATTTTCTCATTTGAGCTTCAAATTAACCCTGTGAAAGAAGTTCGATAAGGATTATTATCCTCATTTTACAAAAAAAGGAAACTGAAGCTGAGAGAACTAAAATGGTTTGCTGACACTTGCATAGATAGTATTAACCAAAGACTTCAAATTGCAGGTCTTCATGATTCACTTTCCAACAATTTATCCTTTCCATCAAGCTTCCACATTTCTTTTCAAACAATCACTCTGTTGAACTGTTTTCACCTGGGGACTACTGAAATATTACTTAGATGATTAGATATCTACTTTGCTTTTATATTCCACCCCTCACTCAATCACCTTCTCCAACCCCTCTTACCCATGTCAAGGGGCAGCTCTCTACCTCTATAAGAACTTGGGCCTGAGGCTGCTTTCAAAATTGACAGCTGCCTATCAGTTCTTTCCTTAATGAACTGGAGGTTCAATATCAAGTAGTTTCCTTTCCTTACAACTGCTATGTGTGTCATTCTTAGTATTGCTCTAAACAAGAGGCAGTAATCAGACAGAGCTCACCTGTCCACACTTGCACCTACAGACCAATCATGAGTCAATCTTTTTTTTTTCATTTTTGCTTTAAAATATCCAAGGGGACAAGTGTATTTTAGATCTAATAATAACATCTGAGAAAGGGAAAACAAGACTAATTTGAAACTTTTTTTAAGTGTGGGTAAAACCATAATTTCAGATTATTAAATCTTAGAACTCCTACAAAGATAATAGCTTTTTTTTTTCATGCAAGGAAAATACATTTCATTAGCTATAGAAAGTCAAAATTGGAAGTCACCTAAGTGGCTATCTAGTCCAAACTGGTCCTGCGCAGGAGTCCTCTAGGAATCACATCCAACAAGTCCCCATTGAACTCACATGTGAAAGAAGAGAACCCATCACTTCATGTTGCAGTCTATTCCACACTTAACACTAATAGGAAGTACTTCTTTGAAACAAACTTTAACTTACCTCCTTACCCTTCCTATTCATCACTCCCAGTTCTACCTTCTGGAACCAAAAGGCATAAGTCTAATTTCCCTTTCCACAGGATAGCCCTTCATTTTCTTGGTGACATCTTATATTCTCCTTGAGACCTTTATCCCC